GAAATGAATAAAATAAAACCAAATAATTAAATAAATAATAGCTTTGAGAGATGCTAATTTTCTCTCTTGATATACTTATAAACCATCAGTTTACTAAATGACATTCTTTATTTAAAGTAGCATGTTCACTAAGTGGGGAACACTTTAACTGAAACAGATTAAAAATTAAGAACTGCAGGGTCTTAAGTAGGAGCTACCACTTTCTCTACTCTTATACCTGTTAAAGAGCCCAGGATGCTGTTTTTAGGTTATTTGAGGATTTTTTTCTCAGCTCTTCATTTAGAATGACTATTAGGTCATCAATAGAGCTCAGCTCCATTTCTTCTTTCTTGATGCCTTCAAAGACTAATTTTCTATATTCTGTAGTGAAAAGATGTGCCTTTTTGAAGAAAAGGTGGAGTGGGGGAAAAATAGGGTAAAACCTGAATCAACCTGCCTGGATGCAAAAGACCTTTGTCATAAATGAGGGATGCTTCAGCAGCACCAAAAGCAGAGATGAGTGACCATCTTGTGTGTGTGTGTGTGTGTGTGTGTGTGTGTGTGTGTGTGTGTGAGAGAGAGAGAGAGAGAGAGAGAAAGAGAGAGAGAGAGAGAGAGTTTAGTAGGAAATATCTTGTCAGAATGTCCAGAAATGTAAGTGAGATGACAAGACAAAGTGTGGAGCTAACAACTGACTTATGAAAGCTTAAAACATTAGAATTTTGTTCCCAAGTTCTCCTGCTGAGCCCAAACTAACCTGGATACTACAGAAGACACTATTTGTGATTCTAAAAAATCTTTTCTTTATATGATTTCTCATTAAGTATTCTTTTAATCCTATTTGACGCTCAATTTCTATTTTAAAAAAATCAATGAAACAACTGATCCTGGAGAAACCAATTGTAGGGAGGCAATGGGTGGTGTCAGAAGGAAGTGATCCTAGTATTTTGGTGGTAGGGTGGGCTGGTGTGTGAGCCCAGGAAAACCTACTTACTGTGCTGCACAGTATGTAATATTCTTGGGGTCCCTGGATCAGGAGGGCACTGAGTGATCAGAGATCAACAGAATCCTTTTGATGAAGGATTATTCAGGCATCTAGATTGTGAAAGAGCTAGAATTGTGTATTCTTGGGTGATGCCTACTCTACTGCCACTTCCCTTTCCCACAGGTCTTATATGGGACCCTCTCCAGATGTTCCAAACCCTGAGTAAGTGGCCATGTTATTCTGTTTCACAAGAGTATGGGGCTATCTCAAGTACAAAGTCAGCACTGAACAGACACTTGATTGATGTTTATGCTACTTAATTGTGATTTGGCCACAATGTGGAAGGGATAATGTTCAGGGTTTCAAATTGACTCTAGTTCTTAGATCATGTCTAAGAATCCTGCAAATCATCTTGATTCAACAGTCTCTTCTATCTTCAGGAAGGCATGTGCTCAAACCATATAAGACAAGTTGTCTTGAATTATATGCAAAAGGTGAGGGGTGTTTGGTTAGGAAAAAAAAACCAAACAAAATCTGAATGTAGAAATGGAAACCAATGGTAATGCCATACAATATTAGACTATTCCCTTTGTCTTGGTGCTTCACTGCTTCTAAAGAAGCTGATACTTTTTATTTGATCACCTTTCTCCACTATTTTTAAAGAGGGTAGACATCCTCAGAGTAAATGAAGAGGCTTTGGCTTAAGAAGCCATTGCCCAAGGAAACCATACCTTAAACTGAGTTTTGGCTTAGTTTTCAAATCCTCAGTATCTCCTAGCTCTTACCCTATCATTTGCAGACTTGGTATAAGAAATGTTTCAGCAAACCATTCACCTAGTTGGGACCTTGACCCAATGTATGGCCAATAGCTTTAACAGCTGAGGAACTCTTCAAGTATTACAGTTTGATTTTACTTTTTTAGTCCACTAACTTTTCAAAATCAAAGCAGTGGGAAAAATAACAGATGTCACAGAAAAAGAAAAATAGACTTGATATTATTCACAGTAGGAAGCAGGTGTCTGCCATTTGCTACTGGTGACCTTCCTGGTTCCTTCCATCCCAAGCTATATCCAGTGATTGAATCAATTGCTTCTTTAGTACTTTAATGGCCAATTCTCTCCCTAGGAATATCTAACTAGGTGTTTGATAGTTCAGAATGAACCTGGATCTGGGGTTTCCATTTATTGCTGTACTTGAAAATCTTGGTTGCTCCTTCCAACACCCTCTAGACTTGTCCCTTGTATTTGAAGGGAAATGCTTTGTTCTGAGTGAAAGACCCTATTTCTCCAATTTCCATGGAACCCATAGCTCTCTAGACTGGCTCAAATCCAGTGGCATCAAAGCAGCACTATGCAGATTGAATAGGTTAGATTTCTAGGGGTTTTCAGACTCCAGCCTAGGCATCAGAATCCCCTGAAAAGCCTTTCCAAAGTGCAGATACTGGGTCCTAACTTTGGAACTTCTAATTCAGTGGTTTGGAGGGAATTAGAAAGCTCCAAGTTTTATAAAACACATCAAGACTTGGGAGTCTGTAGGTTTAGAGATACAAGCCCAGAGGCAAGGAGGAGGAATGCTGAAGGGGGAGGAAGTAAGAAGGAGAGAGAGGAAGAAGGAGGAAAGGAAGAAATGGCCACAGAAAGGTCAAAGCAATTAGAGAAATTATCTGAAAGCAGGAGCATTGGGCTGGGAAATGCTTCCATCATGAATACCCAGTATGAAGCTATTTCAGCTTAAGTTGTGTGTGTGCATATGCATGCCCATGTGTGTGTGCGTATGTGTGCACACATACACACATGCACATACACACACAGCATGGCCATTTTGGGAAGGTGCTGGGAAAATCAGAGAGACATGTCCCATGAGCCTGGGATTGTTCCTTCACCTCTGACACTTTTTCCATTCCCAGCCTGAGCTCTATCACATACACCCCAGGGGAGAAAGCACAACACAGCTGCTGAAAATTGGTGGTTGCAGTTGTGTGCTTCTTCTCATTCCCCACTCTGGCTGTCATTATGACAGTATTTCTTTGAGTCACATCTAGCTTGTGGGATATCAATGACTTATGGTCGGGGAGAGGGAGGGAATGATGAAGGAAGATCACAAAAATACATCAGGGACATCAGCAAAGTAAATTATACCTATTCCCCCAGCCCCACGCCCACCCACCCACTGCCACTCTGCCCTCAATTTGCTGCCATGGAAGGCGTTCCTACAGCAACTTAAGGCATGGATTTGAAGCTCATGTGATGAGGCTTCAAAGCACAGTTCCATATGATCATATGTTCTATGGCCTACAGCAGAAACTGCCCATGTGCAGAAGAATGTTTCTGTCCTTGGCTAGACAGAGGGATCTACCCAAGGTAGAAGAGCCACTTGGGAATATGATCAGCTTTGCCAAACAAAACAATTTGCCTAAGCATAATACGTTCAATTCCTTTTTTTCCTCTTAGAAATTGTTCAAAACCAGATTTTATTGAGCATGGGTCTCAAAAATGTTTTCCAGTGTTTTGTTTCAATTTGAGGGTGAGATGATTTGACTTTTGTCTTCTTTTCAACGTAGCACAACATAGCAACTCTACCATGGCACAGACTTCAGTTGTACAACCATTATTCAGTTTAGATTTACTGTTTCTCTAGAGTGAACTTTTCAGTCTGAACTGGATGTTATTTACGCCTGAATCCTGTACCTAGGAGCATCCCTGGCATGCAAGGAATGCTCAGTAAATGTTTGCTGGGTACAAAGCTCTCGGGCAAGTTTCTAGTCATCATTTGCAGAGAAGTACACATTTCATGGCAACACTGGGTTTCAGCTAGAACATAAAAACTGGGAAGAGGGTCTTTGAATCAAGAGGACATGGTGCTTATGAAAAAATTAGAAGATGCAATGCCCTGTATCACATCTCTGTGTTGTCACAAAACTCTTCTGATTTTAGGAAGAAGTCAACACCTCTCTTGGCATCAGTCCCTTTCTATCTGGCAGCTCTGTTCAATGGGAAGTCATTCACTTCCCTCTCCCTCTTCCCTGCGTTAGTGTGTAGACACTATTCCCTAAGCAGGCTCTTAGACTGTTTTCAGCATGGCCAAATAAATTCGACTATTTGCAAAACTCTGGGTGAGATGGTATTTTCAAGACTGGCAACAAGCATTTTTCACCCAAATGCTGGAGAACAACACTGGATTCTGGCAAGTCATTCCTCATGCTCAAGTAGGAGATACTATAAAGAATTATATTTTCTGGAGCTTTTACAAATAATAGACATAACTCTGCCAGAATGGAGACAACCCAAATATGGTGTGTATATTTGCCTGTCCCATAGGCAAAAATCTGGCACTTTAACAGCTTGAAGGTTGGCAAAGTAGTGTTGGCTGCTGGATAATAAAAGGGGCATCTTGAAAGTAAAAGAAGATTTACTGTTGACTGGTTGACACTTCGGAAGTGGTATTTCTAAATATGCATCGCATAACCAGCAGAGTATTTTGTTAGCAGTGAAAATGATGGCAAAGTATTCTAACATGATAAGGTATGATTAACATGAGGAATAGAAATATAATAGCATGCTATAATGCTACACAATTCAATAAAAATGGTTTCTTGTTAGAAGACCAGGCCTGACTTTTCTCTTTAGCCCTTAAAATTAATAATTGTGCTCTTTAGCTCTCTTTTGGGGATGGATGCAAGACAAGGATAAGAACAGAAGGAACTCTACAGTGAGAAGGGGAGTTGAAAAGAATTCTTGTGTCAGGTTTGGCCACCTGATTTACAGAGCATCGGCTGCACGCCAGTGTTTCTCACTACAGTAGGACAGACTGAGAGATGACATTTCTCTTAGGCTGGTGGGCAGACAGAGAGACTCATTAGGGTGCAAATTTCATGCTTTGTTTCTCAGGAAAGACCTGGAAGAAATCAAAGACATTCATCAACTATTCCACCAAGGTGTGTGACCATAAAGTCATGGGGGGAATGGAAAAGGGAGATGTCAAAGAAAGGCTTGCAGCCTTCTGGACTCCTTGCCTCCACCCATCTCAAGCTACGTACCCAGTATAGCACATCTGTCCAGCCCTCCATGGTGATGCACTGGAACACTGTCAACATGGCGAAGGCAAAATTGTCAAAGTTGGTGATGCCGTGCTTGGGCCCGTCCCAGCCGGGCTTGCACACAGTGCCATTCTGGCACTGCCGCCCATGGCCGGTCTCCAGAGCACAAGGGGAAGGATCATCTTCTGCTGGAACATCTTGAATGACCAGGGGAAAAGAGAAGGAAGCAGAGGGGATGGAGAGAGATGGGCAGAGAAAGGAGAGAGAAGTCAGAGAGAAAAGTGATAGGATAAGGTTGATGGGATAGGCAAAACAACTACAACAATAATGCAGAACAAGTTTTCATTAGATCCCCCACAGACAAATTAAACAACATAAGGAACTAGGTATTCATTTAGGCTGCCATTGAAAGTAGCAGATCAGTACTTTCAACTAATCGTAAGACTATATTTTAACCTCAGTTATTGATTTCAAAGACAGTAAGGCTATTATTGTACTTTCTGTTGAAACATGTTGACATCATAGTCAAATGGCCAATTAAAAAATAATGATGATGCAATTACCCCAAGTGGAAAATATCATGAAAAATAATATTTTTCTTCTTCTTCTTTTTCCTTCCTTCCTTCCTTCCTTCCTTCCTTCCTTCCTTCCTTCCTTCCTTCCTTCCGTTAAAGTCTCTATGGATACTTCCATTGGAATACCAGAGTTTGGGTGAGGGCTATATTGATTGGAAGAGTCTTTCACATAATTAGCCAATAAATCCCATTTGATTACATTTTTTTCCATTACATGTTACCTGATGCATTATCATGCATGCAAATCATTTTACAGTGGAAGCCTTATGTTGATACAGGTTAAAAAATAAATTCTGACCATAGGTGGAAAGTATCATCCACAGCAGTCTTTATTATAACCCTTGATTCCAAACACAACTGATTCTCTTTTATGCACGTGGAACCTTGCAGCACTGCTTTTTGCTCTCTAGCATTAATACCTTTCAGAAGAGATGTATCATTTTATGACCTCTAATCAGGACAAAGCGGCAGTGCAGTCAGAGTGGCTAAAATGAGCAAATCAGAGGACTCTAGATTCTGGTGAGGATGTGGAGAAATGGGCACCCTCCTACACTGTTGGTGGGAATGTTAACTGGTGCAGCCCCTCCGGGAAACAGTGTGGAGATTCCTCAAAAAATTAACAATAGAACTCCCCTATGACCCAGCAATAGCACTGCTAGGAATTTACCCAAGGGATACAGGAGTGATGATGCATAGGGGCACATGTATCCCAGCGTTCATAGCAGCACTCTCAACAATAGCCAAAACATGGAAAGAGCCTAAATGTCCATCAACGGACGAATGGATCAAGAAGATGTCATTTATCTATACAATGGAATACTACATGGCAATGAGAAAGAATGAAATCTGGCCATGTGTAGCAACCTGGATGGAACTTGAGGGTGTTATGCTGAGTGAAATAAGTCAGGCAGAGAAGGACAGCTACCATATGTTTGCACGTATAGGAGGATTAGGAGGAATTTAACGGAGGACCGTGGGGGAGCAGAAGGGGAAAAATAGTGGGGGAGAGGGAGGGAGGCAAACCATGAGAGACTCTTGAATGCTGAGAACAAACTGAGGGTTGATGGGGGTGGAGGGGAGGGGAAGGGGGGTGATGGGCATGGAGGAGGGCACTTGTTGGGATGGGCACTGGGTGTTATATGGAAACCAACTTGACAATAAACTATTTTAAAAAAAGGACAAAGTGGCAGTGGGTAATAAGGAGAATACTCAGTATGGACAGAGCTTTTTCAGAAAACCATATAACATATCTACTGTGGCTATAGACAGAGCTTGGGCTAATTCCACATGCCAGGAAGAGCTACTAGGAAATTAATAGTTAAGATGTGTCTTATATTTTTGGTGTGGGGATCATTGGTAAATTGAAATAAGACTTAGCTGATCTAAGAATTCCCATTATGGTAAAATACTGAGAGTCACAGCCTTAGCTGTGGAAGGTAATAGTTTGGAATTCACAGAAATTTGTGAAATTAAAGACACTGTCTTATGTTTACACAAGGTAACAGTAATACATAGAATAGACTCCAGTCCTGACAAACAAATGACTGCCTTTAATGACAGTGAAAATATGCCCTGGGATAGAGAATTTACTTGTAGTTCTTCATTTAGAGGTAACAGGTCACCATAGGGTCTTATGCATTAAAACAATTATAAGTGTCTAGTACCTCTATATTGAAGAATATTGGTTGGTTGGCTCTTTCTCAATTTGTGGTTTCAAATATGAAACTGTTCATTTCCAAGAGGAAGACAGGAAGAGGAATATTAATCCTAACTAAGAGACAGTTCTTACAAAAATGGAGTTGAGCAGTATGGTTGAAAATATATGCTGGAGTGTGTCTTCTTGGCTTTTTTTCTTTTTTCTCTCTTAACAGCTTTATTGAAATACAATTTACATGTCTTACAATTCATCAATGTAAATGTACAGCTCAATTATTTTTAGTAAATTTATATAGTTGTACAGCCATCACCACAATCCATTTTAAAACATGTCCATCATCCTCCCAAATTCCTGTGTGCCTGTTTGCAGTCAATCCCTGCTCCTATCCTTAGACCCTAGCAACCTGATTTACTTTCTGTCTCTATAGCTTTGTCTCCCTAGAAATTTCATATATATAGAATCATATAATATGTGGCTTTTTGTGCCCATCTTATTTCTTAGCATAATGTTTTTGTGTTCTGTGTTGTTGCACATGTCAATATAGTATATTCTTTTTTATTGCCAAGCAGTGCATTTCATTATACATCTATCACCAGCTGATAGACATTTGGATTGTTTCCAGGTTTGGGCTATTATGAATAGAGCTGCTTCCTGGCTTATTCCTGGCCTGGTGCTTCAGGTTGCATGTGAGTCTTTGTGTGATGACCAAGGTGTAAAGGTCTGCATAACTGGTCACTGAACTGTTTGAGGGAAAGACAGCGTCTACACCATTTCCTGACTCTAGGAAATGGTGGCTCCCAGGAGGGCTCCATTCACGTAAATGAACTCTCCTTAATCTTCTGTGACTTTTGATATTTTGAAATCTTTGTAGATTTGGATGTGAGTTTAAATAATGGGAGGCTATAAAAGGAGGGAAACTAAAAAGTGAACCCCAAACCTAAAGAATACATGCAAAAGTGGGCAAGAAACACCAAAAAAATTGAGAGGCTGGAAAACCAAGAACAAAACAGATCATATATGCTGCTGGGCTCTGACCCATTCTGGTGATGGCTTTCGACCGTGATGTGTTCAGTCACTATAATAGTGTTGGAATGATATAGAAGATGGGAGAAAAAGAGAAAGTGAAAGAACAGAGGGATAACTTGCATTTTGTTTTATTGTCTAATGAATAAAGATGCCATTAATCCTTGTATTGTGACTGCTCATCTGACAGCCTTCCCTGCATTCTCTATTCCTGAAACAGACAAAAATAAGGAAAAAGTAAAGGTTGCCAAAGTGAGTTCTGAATGTCTTCAAGGAAGAAAAACATTTTGGGGTTTAAAAAAATATATATGTTGAAAGGAAAATGTCATCAGGGGAAGTGATCTCATTAATAAAAAAGAAAGGGATGAGATTCAGAGAGATTCTCTAAAGGCTCAAGCGCCACTCTGCTATTTTAAATCTATCTTGAACAACAATAAAAAAAGATTTGAGAACAATTAAGAAGCAATGATGATCTGATAAAAATAGGTATCTATAAAAAGCACTAAAGGGAACACTTGAAAAATGTGAACACACACAAATCAGCAGGTCCTTGCAACATGCACTTGAGGGTGGGGGGAAATTGGTTTGAATGTGAAAATGTGTTGGTGTTCTTCTGCAGAGTCATGAAGTCTCAGGGAGGAAATGAGGAACGTGAAGTAGGAAACAGAAACAAAGATGTGGGCCCTATGTTTTAAAACAGAAGTGAAGAGAACTGGAAAGTCCAAATTAAGTTTGTGGTAAACGAATGGAAGCAAAGATTAGGAGAGATTTTAGAAATGCAGTTAATACCAACAAGAACATGAAATCCTGGGAGAGGGCCAGTTAGGGGTTCCAAGGAGAAATCACCAAAGACAAAATCAATTACTTTTTTAGGACCCAACTTTAAGAAGTGAATACAATGGAAGTGATTTCATTTCTAGGTTTGAGCCAACCAATTCTCTGCCAGTCTCAGGGGTAATTAGTGTGCTTGGGGAAGCTATTCAGAGTAACCTGGCTCAGAGTACCATCAAACAGATGGGACAACCAGAAACAAAAGGTGCCGGCATATGGTGATATATCTGTTGAGGAACTAGGAAGGCACCTTGCAGATGCCTCTGGGATTGGAGAAAAATTGCCTCTTTGGAGACCACATCTACAGGGAACTAGAAGGGCAGCCTAGAGGCTGAATAATGGTTCACCTGGCCAACTCCAGATCTTTCTTTATAGAAAACATGCTTTAAAATCCAATGTGTCCTAAAATCTACAAGCACATAAAATTCATAGTCTGAGAATAATCTTAAAGTGCAAAAAAGAAGAATTTGATCTAAATTCCATTAAAAATTATGACAAGGGCTCACAAGCACTTTTGTATAATCTAAATTTGCAGTAAAATATGGCAATTCAATCCAAAGTCTGAAATTAAAAAAAAAATCACTCATTCCAAAGGTGGTACCAAACTCTCCAAAACACATGAAGATTGGCTTCAAAGACTACAGAGGCTTCAAAGACTCTGGTTGCATGGAGTATGTCCAGACTCCCATACATTTTTTTCCTTCTCGTTTGTTTTAGTCACTATGTAGGTGGGAGAGGCCCTGATGACTGTGGCATTGTGTTCTTATGGCAGCAATGGAGTAGATCCCTGGATTGTCATCAGATGGCAGATTTAGGAAGGAGGAGCTACATGAGCTCTGAATTGCAGAGTGTTGATTAAAAAGACTTCTGCAGCCATGTGTCCTCAGCCCCTCTTCCCAGCAGGGAGCCTGGTTCTACACAGAGTGAGGTCACCTTCCTGGTGGAGCTGGCATGGCTCCTCTCTCTGGAACACTTCTATTGGTGTCTGTCCTTTGACACCCTGGTTCTCCAGGCTGATGGTCATTTTCACTATGGGACCTAACTTCTCTTCTGACTTGTGAAATGAAGGGAAAACCCATCACTAAATAATCTGATGCATCCTCTGGTAGGAAGCAGATTTAATTTTTTTAAATCAAGGATAGACAGCAGTATGGTTCTAAATTGGCCACTCCAATTGGTGGGGCCAGTTCTAGTCTTTATCCTAAAAATAGGGAGGCCACTATAAACTTTAGCAGGCTCTTGGTGGCTGTTTTACAGGACTGTGCAGCTGGGGCACAGAGGAGAGCACCCCATCCTGTATCTCTTTTGTTTATCATGCCCACTATTTTCTTGTCTGTTGAGGCCACTGAAGGTCTGACAATGATGCCTAGTGACTCCAATGTTCCAGGTTGCTTATTAGCATAGGCCCTTAGAGGATCTTTCCACCAGTGAAAAACATATTTTTGCTGTTTTCCCAGCAGAATGATAGAAACCATGGGCAGTGCTGGGAGCAGTATTCCTTAGGCAAGTGGTACAGAGACCTTTGGTTGCAGGGTAGGGTTGCTATCTATGTGACAGAGTTTCATCATTTCACCGTCCTCCACTTGGTATGCTGTTCGTGAGAGCCACACCATAACATATAACCCACTCTTAGGGTCTTTGACACTCAATATCTCTGTGACTGCCTGAAGACTTTGGGTCTAAAGAGTCATCAATCACTTCAATACAGCTGCATAAACTTTAGACATAATACAGTAGCTCTTAAGCAGGACTTAGAACGAGCTCTAAAAAAGCCATGCAATTAACATAAATGTATTGGCTCAGGGCTGGCTCCAGACTGAAGTGAACAAAAAGAAGGATTTGAATTCAAGGGGAAAATACTATTCATTGCATTACTTGGTATTCCTTTAAGCAAAGCTCAATTTTAGCTAAAGGCAGGATTTGCTCTAATATTAAAGAGCTTGTTTTTTTTTTTTTAATATGATAGCTTATTTTATACAATTAAGACCCAAATAATTAGGAAGTTCTCTCTAATGTGACTGAAAAAATGGTCTCTTAGGGGCGCCTGGGTGGCTTAGTCGGTTAAGCGTCCGACTTTCGCTTAGGTCATGATCTCGCGGTTCGTGGGTTTAAGCCCCGCGTCGGGCTCTGTGCTGACTGCCAGCTCGGAGCCTGGAGCCTGCTTCAGTCTGTGACTCCCTCTCTCTGACCCTCCCCTGCTCACGCTGTCTCTCTCTCTCTCTCTCCTAGAAATAAATAAAAAATATTTTAAAAAAATGGTCTCTTAAACAGACTCTTCATCAAAAAAGTAAAAACAATTGTGTAACCCTGTGATTGTAGGTTTACAGTTTTCTTGTTTGTTTGTTTTAGGACTATGGTTACGCAGCAGTGACCTAAAAACTACAAATACCCAGTCAATCCACCCAGTGAAATGGGATCATCCGGATCAGATACTTTATTTTGGTTTCTGAGTATGAATAACCCATTTCATCCTTTGTTGTACAGATTTCTTTCTCTTCACCATCCCAAGGCAAGAGGGGTCACATTTAATTTAATGCTTGGGCTGAACGGGAATTATAAACAGTACAGATGGAAAGAAATGAGGTATCTTTTAAGGCTTCAGATAGATACTCCCCTTTCTCCATCAAGATGCCAAAAACTAGAATGAAAGATCATGATATTGGCATAAAAAATCACATAAACTTAACAATGCTAACCCCTTTGAGGGGAAATAGTTTTTCAAAAAGTTTTTATATTAAGCTGCTTTATATGTCTGTTTAAAGTTTTGTCAATTTTTGTTTACGTGTTTTTTTTAAAGGTGCAGCTGAGGTTTTAGTAACCTAAAACAGCAGTGTGTAGCATGTCCCACAGACAAATATTTTAGTCGTATTCAGATAAGTGCTAAATGGGCCAGCATTTCTTGTTAACTATATTGGTTTGTGGAAGGAACACAGAGAAGTCTCAAAAAGGCCCCCTGTAACAGGATGCTGGGAGGTTCTGCCTATGAACGGAGAAGCACAAAACATTGAGCACAAAGGAGGTAGGATGAGCCCCAGAGAATGGAAAGGACTCAGGGTTGTGATAGAGGCATCTACTAGCTGCAGGCAAAACTGCCAGGGCTTTGGATGACAAGTGACACTGAAAGGCCAATGGAGCAGAGATGCACACCATCACTATGTCAGTTCAATTCTTTTTTTTTTTTTTTTTTATTTTTTTTTTTATTTTGAGAGAGAGGGAGTGAGAAACAGAGTCCGAGCAGGGGAGGGGCAGACAGAGAGGGAGACACAGAATCTGAAGCAGGCTCCCGGGTCCGAGCAGTCAGCACAGAGCCCAACGTGGGGCTCACCCCACCAACTGCAAGATCACGACCTGAGCTGAAGTCAGATGCTCAACTGACTGAGCCACCTGGGCACCCCGGGTCAGTTCTGATTCTTAAATTAAAATATTCAAGGTTGACTAGGTTGTTTCTTGAATCACACAGCTCATTTAAACTGTTTAGCAGTGCTAGACGGGAGCTTGCATTAGCTGTCCTAACAGAGATCTATTTTAGTAAAAAGAAAAATTACCAAGAGAAAAACAATACCAATCTCTGCCTCTCACTTAGCCATGGAATGAAAAGATGAGCCTTTGAATGGAGGGGGCCTTGCCGAGCACCGCTGGTTATATGGTTGCAGCTCACTCAGCTACAGGGAAAGTAGTAATGAGACAGTGAACCCTCTTGAGAGCTGGCCTCTCAGCGTCTTCCTTACCTGCTATGCCCTCCTGGTTGTAGCAGGTCTTATGCATCTTCCCCATGAAGAGCTCCAGGCCAATGATAGCATAGATGATGATGACAAACAGCACTAACAGGGCAATATGCAGCAGCGGGACCATGGCCTTGATAATGGAATTCAGAACCACTTGGAGACCTACAATGATAAAGTTAGACAGTAACAGTGAGAACATCAGCTTCCACTTACTGAACCAAGTGCTACTCAGATGCCATACTGACATAATCTCATGTAATCTTTTTAGCAATTCTACCAGTGATGTATCACAAGCCCTATTTCTTAGATGAGGAAACTGAGGCTTAAGGTCACATAGTCAGTGAATGACAGAACAGGGATTGATATCTAGGTTGGCCTGACTCCAAATCTTTCTTGGAGGCACATCCAAATGAAAGGACTGGCAGATGCTGTCTTCTAAGGGGAAGAACATGTTGTTTCATCCAGAACTCTCCAATTTTCTAATATCCTGTCTTAGAGACAACCTAGCATCTTTTTGTCCTAGACCACCATCTCATTACAGTGAGAATTAACTTTGACTAGACATAGCCCTGCAAGGACTTGCTTATCTCTCAAGGTGGGATTACGAGATGCTGTGGCTGACCCATGTGCCAGAAAACACAAATCAGCCTGGTTGTCAGGCATCTGGGAGGGGGGGGACTTCCTTTGTTGAAACTGATTCATACCCTCAGGTTACACGTAGGTGGGGTTGTACCTAAGACCCTCTCTGGATTATATGAGTGGATCTCTCTTCCTGTAGATTTCTGGCCAGGCCACTTTCCCTCAGTGCCCATATCTGGAGAAAACTAGACCCCTCCATTGAAAAACCCCAATGAAGGGAGTTCATGTTGAATGGGTATGTAATTTCTATTTGGGAAGATAAGAAAGTTCTAGGGATAGAAGACAAGACCTTATCTGGATTATGTGAGTGGACCTCTCTTCCTACAGACTTCTGGCCAGGCCACTTTCCTTCAGGGCTCATATCTGGAGAACATGAAAGCCCTCCATTGAAAAACCCCAATAAAGGGAATTCATGTTGAATGAGTATATAATTTCCATTTGGGAAGATAAGAAAGTTCTAGAGATGGATGGTGGTGGTGGTTGCACAATGCAAATATACTTAGTGTCACTGAACCATACATGTAAATTGGTTATAACGGCAAGGTTTGATATGTATATATTACCACAATAAAAACTGAAAGTACTCAGATCCTGTCAGGAAAAAAAAGTAAATGAAAAATCCTATGTAGCATATCGGTTTTGTTAGTGCATCCCAAAAGTCTGTAGGCTTGTACTGTCATCTTATGGGAAGAAGGACCCTCAAACTTATGAGCTCAACCATAAATGACACCGACAATGCTCCCCGTTCAAAAGAGATGTTACAAGGTTTTTTTTTTTTTTTAATGTTTTATTTATTTCTAGGAGAGAGAGAGAGACAGCGTGAGCAGGGGAGGGTCAGAGAGAGAGGGGGAGTGACAGACTGAAACAGGCTCCAGGCTCTGAGCTGGCAGTCAGCACAGAGCCCGACGTGGGGCTCGAACCCATGAACCGCGAGATCATGACCTAAGTGAAAGTCGGACGCTTAACCGACTAAGCCACCCAGGCGCCCCAGATGATACAAGTTTTTATTTGCAAATCATGGAGAGACAGTTGCAGCCAGTCACCCCCAGACTATACCCAGTCACAAGAAAGCTTTCTGTCAGCAGTGAGTACACCAAGTCTTCATGTCCTAGGACAGAAGTTGGGGAAAGGGCAGGTTCTCCTTCCTTACATCTAGGCAGTTATGCAGAAAATCTTGTGGCCACCTATGACACACATATAATAGGATACCCACCTGTGCATTACACCACATAGAGCACTTTTAGTGTCTCCCTCTGCCTGACCCCCCCAACCATGGACATCTTTCCACTGCTCCATGTATCAGAAGTTTCATCTTTGTATTCAGCAACAGCCCTCCCTCTGCACCAGGTAAACAAAGTCTGGGTCACCCTCTCCCCAGACCCCAAGGCAGCCACAGGTGTTTTGTGATTTGGTGGAGTGATGTTCACAAGGCTAATTAGAGGAATTCTCCCCAGTTATTAAGCCAAGATGGGGAGAGGAAAAAAAATAAAGGAAGAGAAAAGCTGGAATAATTTTACCTGTGAACTAATGAGAGTGCTTTGCAGCCTCCCATTAGAACAAGATGTTTTCAGATCCAAATGATTTCATTAATTAGCAAGTTGTACACACATTAGTGTTAAAGTATGCGAAGCCATGGAGGAAGTTGAAAACTGAAATGCAAAGCAAGTTTCAGAGGTGTCTGCTGGGGCGGGGAGTGCTTGAAGTGCTACTCACTGAAAGGGAGGGAGATGTCCAGATCCAGCCTACTCAGGCCACTAGCAGGCTTTGCTATTTGGCCTTTAGTGCTACAGCCTTGGGTTGCAAGAAAGTGGTGGGAGACATAGAATGGGAATCTGTCCTCTGTGCTGCAGTCAAGCTGCTGCTCCTAGGATAAAGACCAGAGTCCTTCTTGTGCCCTTCAAGGTGCCCCTATCTACATCTCTGCCCGCTCCCATCCCTTGCCCCTCACTCTCCACACTCCTGTTTTCTTTTAGCCTCAAATATGCCATATGGGCAGACTTCAGAGATATGAGGGCTCGGTTATTCCAGCTCACTGCAATGAAATGGATATTGCAATAAAGTGAGTCAAATGAAGTTTTTGGTTTCCCAGTGCACGTAAAAGTTATGTTTATTCTACACTGTAGTCTATTAGAGTACAATAGTATTATGCCTAAAAAACCAATGTACATGCCTTAATTAAAAATACTTTATTGCTAAAAAATGCTCACCATCATCTGAGCTTTCAGTGAGTCATAATCACCAGATCACAGATCACTATAACAAACATAATAATAAAAAAGTGTGAAATATTGTGAGAACTACCCAAATGTGACACAGAGACACAGAGTGAGCAACTGCTGCTGGGAAAATGGCTTGACAGACTTGCTTGACACAGGGTTGCCACAAGCCTTCAATTTGTCAAAAATGCAACATATGCCAAGCACAATACAGTAAAGCACAATAAAACAATGTATGCCTGCACTTCCTCTACCACAAGGCTGTGAAGCATGCGCCTCTCTCAGCCCGGAAGTCTTCTCCACAGTCCCCTCCTACTTTTCCTTCTTTTTTTTTTTCCTAGAAATTTTATTTTATTTATTTTATTTTATTTATTTTGTTTTATTTTATTTTATTTTTTTTACAAATAGTTTATTGTCAAGTTGGTTTCCATATAACACCTAGTGCTCATCCCCACAAGTGCCCTCCTCCATGGCCATCCCCCCTCCCCAATCAGTCCTCAGTTTGTTCTCATCATTTAAGAGTCTCTCATGGTTTGCCTCTCTCCCTCTGTTCTCGGCCCAAACATCTCTCTTCCTGGGGATCCTTCCCCAAGCTCCCAGATAGAAGTTCCCTCTCTTATATATCTACTAGGAACCATTTCCCTTCCTTTGGAGCATTAGTCTCAGTTCAGAATTCTATGTTCATTACGTGTTTTTTAAAGCATTTTTATTTGTCTTTCACACTGGGCTGAGTTTTGTGAAGACGGGGACTGCCTGCTCTTTTTGCTGTTTTAACACTGATGCCTAACTTGGTGTTGAGCACATGGCAGGTACTCAGTAAGTATTTATTGAAGGAGAGATAAATTTTCAATTTAAGTAAATGCTCCTGCTCTTAGGGTGCTTTGATGGACTTCGCTGCAATGGAGTGTGCTGTACAGGTAGGGATGTGAACGGATAGCTGAGTTCCAGGGGCCGGCAAATTCAGGTAGAGACTACTGACTATGCTACAAAGAGGCCACAAGGAAGTCCCAGTAGCCTGTGAGCTTCTTTTCAGCCATCACGGATGGCTGTTCCCCTGTCCCTATCTCAGCCAGAGGCCGTACCTCCCACCTGAGCACCCAGGCCAGGAAACCAACTGGGGAGGCTCTTCCCTCTAATTGGTTACCGAGTCATACTAGTTTGATTCTGAAGTATCTTTAGACAAGCATAAATTATTTTTACTATATAAATAATATATAAACAATCATATATTATAGAGAAGGTATCAGAAAAAATAGAAAATCATTGAGAAAAATAGAAAATACTTATCACAGAGAAATTAGAAAACACGGGAAGCAAAAAGAAGCAGGAAATCAGGTGGAAATAAGATAGAATCTTTATTCCAGCCACTGGTATATATTCTGGACATTTTGATTCATGACTTGTTTTCCACTTTTCCATCCTCTTACTGTTCTTCATTCAGTTAACGATCTTATGTTCAGTTTTGCCCAATCTTCACACTGTAGTTAGAATGCTCATGTTCAAGCACAGACTGGAACGTGTTGCTTCTTTGATGAAAAGTCCTCTGATGATTCCCTATCAGGTAACACTCAACCTGCAATCTTTCATAGTTTGATCATATCTGATTCCAGTTTACATCTTACATTCCAGGAATATACTGCACTGTCTGAAGTTCTCTGGTTTCATGCCTCCTTACTTCAGCACATGCTGTTCCACCTGCCTAGAATGCCATTCCCTAGAGCCTCGTCTGGTCTTCTCACCTTGTATCTCAGCACATAGTAGTGACTCAATGCACACAAAACTAAATCGCTTCTGTGTGCCTTAGAAAACAGAAATCACAATAATGAAGGAATTGGAAACCATGTCATTCAATAATCATTAGAAGAAACTAAAGATGTATTGTCAGAAAAAGATAAGACTCATGGAATGGGAAAAGCACAGGGAGGGAGGGTGATATCAATGATTTTCATAATTTAAATTGCTGTTTTGAGAAAGAAGAGTTGGATGAATTTGATGTAACCACTGGGATGGAACCATGACTAACTAGGAAGTTTCCAGAAAAGATTTAGATTGAACAGAAATGAGAACTATCAAAATGCTGGACCTATCTGAAGATGGAGTGGGATATTTTTTTGTTTGCTTTGTTTTATTTATTTATTTTTTTGAGAGAGAGTGAGAGAGCAGCGAAGAGGGGCAGAGAGAGAGAGAGAGAGATGGCATGAGCAGGGGAGGGTCAGAGAGAGAGGGAGATACAGAATCTGAAACAGTCTCCAGGCTCTGAGCTAGCCATCAGCACAGAACCCGACGCAGGGCTTGAACCCAGGAACCATGAGATCATGACCTGAGCCAAAGTCAGACACTCAACCAACTGAGCCACCCAGGCGCTGAGAGAGAGAGAGAGAGAGAGAGAGAGAGAGAGAGAATGAATCTTAAGCAGACTCTTAAGAGACCAATGTGGGACTAGATCCCATGACCCTGGGATCATGACCTGAGCCAAAATCAAGAGTTGGATGTTTAACTGACAGAGCCACCCAGGCACCCCTGGAGTGGGATGTTTTAAGAGATAGTAGGCTCTTCATTGGCAGACATGTGCAAGCATCAACTGAACAAGTTCTTGGAGGAGGTACCTTGTGGGCATTCTCAGGTGAAGAATTGCCCTGGCACACCAAAGCCCCCTATATCCTCATCAAGCTGTTCTGAAGACATTTCTGTGGGTCAGGTACAGCTCTCAACACTCTACTTGGATTATCCCATTTCTTCCTGGCAACAGCCCATGAAGTAGGTACTATTATTAACTGTATTTTACTGATGAGAAAAGTGAGTCCAAGAAAGGTTAAATGGCCTGCCCATAGTTACACGTGTGGGGAGTGGTGATGTGGGGTACAGGACCAGGTAGCCTGGCTCCTGAGCCTGTGGGCTTTGCCACTATGCTAAATGCCTCCCCATAGCACTTAGACTGTGGTTTCCAGCCTTCAAAATCTATGTCTATAAAGCAGCAACACATGCTTGCAACATCTGTGGGAAAGGTGAGGAAGCCTAATCCCTACTTCCAGGAGAGTCCAGATGTTTCTAAGGCCAGTCCAGGAAAGACTTATTAGTTTCTGCGTGCTTTTCTTACAGACAGCCTGGGACAGCAGAATGCAGGCTGGTATATGAAAGGATGGGG